AAAAAAAAAAAAAAGAAAGAAAGTGCTAACAGACTTTGAAGTTGCCTTCATGTTCTGTGCCTCAGTTATCCAATATGGCAGCAACTAGCCAAGCCAATAGCTCCCATTCAGCCATGGGGTGGAAATATAGCTACTCTGAATTGAGATCTGATGTAAATGGAAAATATTTGGTGCAAGCATAGCATTTAGAGGGAAAGTTGGTGTAAAATATATGCTTTATATTGATAACATAATTGAAGGGTGCTATTAGATTTATGAACAGTATATAATTAAAATATCACCTTTTCTTAAATTTTTAATATGGCGATTGAACATTTAAAATTACAGATGTGGAACACATTTTTGGTTTTAATATATTTCTATTAGACATTGTTGGTTTGCTCTCTTTATCATATCCACCGTATGACCTTTTTTTGTTTTGAATATTGGATGTGATATTAATAATAATAGTAATAATAATAATGATATACATGTTAATTGTGAGGTTTCAATAATAAGCTACATATTAAAATCTTCAAATCAATAAAGTACTTTCTAAACCTTAGATTCTAAGAAAATGTTATTACAAATGAAAACAAGTTCCCTGGACGTTAGATGACTGAGGCTATCAAGTAACCTGCTAATTGCCATGACTGAGTGTTCCCAATAGTCAGAAACGGTTGCAGGTACTCAAGACATAAAAGATAATTTAGGAAAGAAAAATCCATAAATTATGCTTCTGCTCATAATTTAAAAATAATGAGAATGATACCAGATGCTCTAAAATTCCTCTAAATATATTGTGTTGTGCATCTGGAGTTAGATATTGACATCAATATATCTCTTCCATTATTAATGATTTTGATATTTGTAACATTCTTTTTCTCATTTGTAGAATAGAGACCATCATACTGATCTTAATGAGTTGTTATGATTAGAAAAGCTGGTCAATAAATTATCTGGTAGAGCGTCCAGTAAAAATGTCATCAGACAATGAAAATAAAACTGCTGTTTCTTCTTGCTTTTGTTCTTGGTATGATTGCTATTGTTATTAGAACTATTATTGTATCCTGGTTTGTATAATGTGCCTCACAGATAGCAATCACAAGTTTTTAGTTAATGAAATGACAGGAAATACTTAAAGTATAAATGAATAAAGAAATCATATCAAATGAAAATGCAATAAAAGAAATTTCCACTGAATATTATTACCTTTAAGATGTCTAGTTTTTCCGTTTAATTAAAATCTGTTAATTTGCTTATTGAAATTGTCATTATAAAATGGATTACACTTTACTTTTCTAAGAATTTAAAATAGAACACTATTCCAAGTAGGTATTTATTGCTGATAAGATACTTTTTTTCAAGAATTATTTTGCTCATTGTGGATTATGCAATTAAATATTTATTATTTATTCTCTTTGGTTTGCATTTTTATTCTACTTGTAAAATAGTCAAGAAAAGAAGTGATCAGGAATATATATATATATATGCAATCAGAAATTTAAATATTGTACTCTACATTTCTATAAATCTGTATAAAGGAATTCAAAGGGATTATTACTGTTTTTTTTTTTCCTTTGCTACTATGATAAACATAGGTAGGAACTGAAACTTTATTAGTTTTAATGAGCATAAGTGGAAGTCCTTTCCCATGTATTCTGGAGCTGACACTGTACCAGTAGGCCTGATTGGCATCTATAATGCATATAAAACATTCATCATAGAAACATTGGCAATGATTCATCTGCTCAACAAAATAGTTTGAATATTATAATCCTTCTGCATACAAAACTTTAAGTAATTTATTTCAAGTCATGACTACTAACAATCAAATTCAGATCTGATAACACTGAAAGGGTAAACTGCTTTAAAATGTCAAAAGAATACACTAACTTCTTAAAATATGGTTTGTTTTGAGAAATGGTCTTTAGTACAAAGACATAAATATCAGAGCTATTACATTTATTTTAACATTTTATCATAAAAAATATTTAGTTCCTGAAAAAACTAACTAAAATTGAGGATCAATTTAGAGGTTAATCTTGAGTAGATGATGAAAATTAAAGACAGAAATATAAAAACTGTTTTTTATGCCTCATCCCTAATAACTCTAAGCTTTATCAGGAAGTACAAAATCTTTCAGAATAAAAAGAAGTTGGTTTAGTATTGGGAGTGATCATTGAAATTCATTACTACTTTCTACATACAAATAGATATTCTGTCTACCCAATTTTTTTTTTTTTTTTTTTTTTTTTTGGTACTGGGGATTGAACTCGGGTCCTTGTGCTTGTGCAGCAGGTGGCGAGCCTACCCAATTTTTATAAGATATAAAAATAAATACAATCATTTTATGGCAAAAAGCTAACATTTTTAATATTTAATTAATTAATTTTGAGAATTTGAAGGGTTAATTAAAATAGGTGTACCGAGTTCAGAAATAAAGTGTTTTTACTATGGTTGCCACTCCACACACAAGAAAGACTGCAACCTGTAAGTTTGTAAAGTTTTCCTATATAACTGCTGTCTAGCAGAGTCCTGCTAATTTCTGAAATTAGATATTTTTATTGAAAAGTCTTACTCTTACATTAGAATCCTCTTTATTACATTCCAAGTAGAGAGGAATATGTTCATTGTAAATTAGGAGTGTGTATTTTCCAATAAAACATTATTTTCTTTTCCTAACTGAAAGAAGTACCTCCTATATCCAGTCTCCAGTTGATGGGCATTTGGGCTGTTTCCAAGTTTTAGCTATCACAAACTGTGCTGCTATGAACATGGGCGCACATATATCACTGTGGTATGATTTTTTTAATTCTTTGGGGAAGATCCTCAGCAGTGGAATAGCAGGGTCAAATGAGACTTCCAGTCCTAGTTCTTTGAGGTATCTCCATGCTGATTTCCACAGTGGTTGCACCAGTCTACACTCCCACCAGCAGTGGAGCAGGGTTCCTCTTTCCCCACAGCCCTGCCAGCATTTGTTATTGGTTGATTTCATGATAGCAGCCATTCTTTCTGGAGTGAGGTGGAATCTCAGCATTGTTTTCATTGACATCTCTCGAATGAGCAGTGATGTTCAACATTTTTTCATGTATTTATTTGCTACTTCTACTTCATTGTCTGAGAAGTGAGTGCTCAGTTCACATGTCCATTTTCGGATTGGGTCTTTAAATTTGGAAGGTCTGATCTTTTTAAGTTTTTTATAGATTCGAGATAGTAGACCTTTGTCTGAGGAAGAGCAGGTGAAGATTTTTCCCCACATTGTGGGTTGTCTCTTCACACTGCTGGTGGTTTCTCTTGCTGTGCAGAAGCCTTTTAATAAGAAGCAATCCCACTTGTTGATTGTTTGTGCTAGTTCACGGGCAACTGAGGTTTTTTTCATAAAATCTTTTCCTACACCGATGTCTTCAAGAGTTCTACCTAACCTCTGTTCCAACTGGTTCAGAGTTTCTATTTTAATATTTAGATCTTTAATCCATTTTGATTTTAGTTCAGTGCATGGCGAGAGATATAGGTCTAGTTTTAATCTTTGGCAAGTTGAAGCCCAATTTTTCCAGCACCATTTATTAAAGAGGCTATCTCTCCTCCAGTGAGGGTGTTTGGATCCTTTATTGAAGATGAGATGGCTGAGTGTGTCTGGCGTTGTTTCTGCATCTTCTAATCTGTTCCACTGGTCCTCAGGTCTGTTTCTTTGCCAGTACCATGCTGTTTTTATCACAGTAGCTTTGTAGTATAGTTGCAGGTTGGGGATTGTGATACCCCCTACCATGTCTCTGTTACCTAGAATTGCTTTTGATATTCTGGGTCTCTTCTTGTTCCAAATGATTTTTTGAATTGTTTTCTCAAGGTGATGAAGTATGCTGCTGGGATGTGGGTTTTTTTTATAAAATGGAGTACTAGTAAACCATAAAAAATGAGAAATTAGAGACTTTTATAGCTAAGTGGATGCACATTGAGGTGATACTCTTAAGTGAAATAAATAGGACACACATGTATAAATACCAAATAGTTTCTCTGGTGTGAGAAACAGAAAGTGTAAATAAGGGCTAAAATGTATAATACGTAATGTGAAATAGGAAGAAAAGGGGCAAAGGGGAAGGAAGTGGGAGGGCTAGGGGAAAGGTTAGAAGGGAATGGGATTAATATGAGAAAATGGAAAAACAGGAACAAAACCTTTGTAAATAGGGAAGAATGGAGGAGTTGAAGGGAGGGCTGGGCAAGGGTGAAAAATAAGAACCAAGAGAGATTATGTAAAGGTGCAAATTTCCAACGATGAATGTCATTATATTGTATACCTAAAATGTACCAATGATTAGAATGAATAATCGATAATGCAAAATAGGAAGAAAAGGTCCAAAGGGGTAGGGGTAGTGGGAGGGGCAGGGGAAAGGAAAGAAGGGAAAGGAAAAATGATGAGAAATGGAAAAAATGGAAATAAATCTTTGTAAGTAGGGAAGGGTAGAGGGGGTATAGGGAGGGCTAGGAATGGGGAAAAAATAAGAACCAAGTTTCATTATGTAAAGGTACAATTCCCAATGAGAAATGTAATTGTGTTGTATACCTAAAATGCACCAATAAAAGAATTGAGCAACAAGAACAACAAAAAAGAAGTACCTCCTAAATAACTGTTAGATACAAATTGTCCATATGAAGAGATATGGGGAAAAGAGCCCTTATCTCTACATGAACTATTTCATTTCATTACTTAATTACAATAAACACATCAAAATTTTCAGTTTTTTCTTTTTAATACTCTAAATAATTTTCCCTACAGAATAAGCAGTAGAGGGTACTTACTCTGGGGGAAGCGAGGTGGGTTATCGTTAACATCGGTTAGTGTGATGTTCACTGTGGTGGTCCCCGATAAGCCCCCCATCTGGCCGCCCATGTCCTTGGCCTGGATGACCACTTGGTACTGCTCCTTATTTTCTCTGTTCATGTTTGGTAATGCAGTCCTGATGATTCCTTAAAAAAAAAAATGCAAATACTTTCATTATCCTTACTGCATTGTTAATCATAATTAGATAGTAATTAGTAATATTTTAAATAGATAAGATATTTTTTGCTACTAATGTTTGTATAAAAATTGCAAAAGTGGCTCTCTATATTTTGTTGTTTGTGTTGTTTTTCTACAGTGATCTAAACATATATGTAAAACAGCAAAACATACATTCCCATTAGCTAGCTCAATTATTGAATTTTGAATTTTTAAATACTTCCTGTGTTCTCATCAATCTTCTCTGAATATTAAGATTTTGCTCTTGTTTCCCCCGTCCTCTTTTGACTTCTAACAATTATAAAGATGATTACAGTAATAAACACTAATTCGTGATTCCTGACCTGTTTCTGGCTCCACAGAGAAATATGGCTGCCCTTGAAGGATGCTGTAAATGACTCTGGCGCTGTTCCCATAGGAAGGGTCATCGGCATCTGTAGCTGTGACTTGCACCACGGAAGTACCTGAAGTATCCAAACTCAGCTTAGTTCTGCACAGTGCCAGAAGGAGGAGCAAAAGCACTGGTTTTCATTGAAGACTTGAATGATCTTTGGCTATAATACGACCTCTTAAAGAAATATTTATATATAATTTGGATGAAAATCATATATAAATATGTGTAAATATATACACATACATATATATGTGTATATATATGGATACACACATATACATATAGTACTATTAAGGTAAAATCTGAGTTTGATTACATAATATGTATTTAGCTATCAGGAATATTTTTATGCATGAAATAAATAATGCTACAGTGTTTCAGAATATAATAAATATGGCAACCTTAAAAATGCTCAGGTTTGACATTTAAATGCATTTTACATGCTAAATTTCTTTCATGTAAAGGGCTTATCTAACCACAAAGGAGTACGTATGCTCTTCTCTCTCACTCTGCACTAATTAACTCTAAAAATAATTAACATATGCTCTAGAATACGATTCTATGAATAGATTGAATTCTATATTTAGAAACAATCCAAGATGATCCCAAGTTCCATGAACTACTAAAATTTATTTAACAAAGTTCATGATATTTATAAGCACTTTATAGTAAAGTGACAACCAAAAGTCCTTGGGATTCAGCAAAGTAAATCCCAAATAACAATCTCAGAATAAACTTTTTGATGAAACAGAGTCTGAAAATGCATTAAAACTGTTACAAGTAAACAAAAGGCACTAGAATTATTTCATAAGTTTAAACTAATTTATAGATATAGGGGTGGTGGATATTTTGCACTACAAGTACATATCTCTCTAAAAGAGTTTTCAGTATTTCTTGATGATTTTAAATTTTTTGCTATGCTCTTTTAATAAAAATTGAAATAGTCTTAAAGTTCTTTTCCTACCAATAGAACTTATATTTATTTACATTATAAAGGGAAATTCTATTTTTTAATAAAATAATTCTACTTGTTTATGCTTTCTGTTATATAAATTCCACATTTTAACTTTCTGATTCTTGACTAGTATGTCATTAATTGTGAATTTCAACTGGTTCATTTAAATATGAGATTTATGCCAGCAGAGTTTTGTACACAATAATTATAATGAAAGTTACCTCTTACTACATAGGAAAAATAATTCAATAACTTAATCAATTCACCATTTGAAATATGTCGATAATCTAGACGAATTCTTTTGGTGAATTTTGACTAATTACATGAATGAAACTTAATTGCATCAATGGTATTCTTAATGTATCATCAGCCTACATATCACTGGTTTCTACATTTTTGTATTCAACCATCCTGGTAGAAAAAACATTTTTAAAAATACACCTGTAGTGAAGATGTATAGAATATTTTTTTTGCTGTATTCTTTACTTTAAACAATAACAAATACTTACATTTTTGTTGTATTTGGTATTATAAGTAATCTAGAGATGACTTAAAACATATGGGAGGATGTGCTTATGTTATATGGAAATAAATATTTTCCTATTTTAATTAGGAAATTGAGTATCCAAGAACTTAGGTTTCCTTTGGTGGTGGGGGGGGGTTCAAGAATCCTTGTCAAAAGCACAGGGTGGGGCTGGGGATTTAGCTCAGTGGTGTCATGCTTGCCTCACAAGCACAAGGTCCTGAGTTCAATCCCTGGTACCAAAAAACAAAAAAAGAAAACCAAAGGGCAAGTATATTTATAAAATAATTGTGTTCAGATTCTCATCCAAAGTTGTGTGATAAAATTTTATATTTTCACAGATTGCTACTGATGACCAACAGTATTTTCTTGATATCGAGTTCTACCTATATGTCCTATAAAGATTTAAAAATCTACAAGAAATGTAAAATACAATAAAAATATTAAATATGTGCTATTGATAGAGAACAAAGCAATTATTGTAAGTCATCCTACTTTAAGAATTTCTTAAAATTATTTTTAGACTTTGTGAACGCTTTCATAAATATAAATGAGCTTACCTACAACGGACATTTCAGGAACACTGGCTGTGTAAATTTCTTCTGGAAATGTTGGCTCATTGTCGTTGATATCATGGATTTTGATCACAAATTCAGACTCTGGTTCTACTGGCCTCAGAGTTCTTCTGTTAATAGCTTGTGCACGTAGAGTATAAAAGGCCTTTTCCTCCCTATCAATTCTTCTTGTGGCATGAATATCACCTGTTTTTTCATCAATAATAAAAAGAGTTCCAGCTCCATCTCCAGATAAAATATATTTGAGTGATCCATCTCCTTTATCTTGGTCTGAATGAAGCTAGGGGAAATAAAAGGAGTATATCGTGATAATGCCTGCAGGTATATAATGCTGAAAGAATTCAAAGAAAGTCCTTCATATCCCATCATTGAATAATGGGGTCAGTAATCTCTGTTCATGAAATGAAAGAGTTGCATAAGTTTGATCACACAGACACACTTTAAGCACTACAAATAACCTTGCGTATATCATTGTGATCTTCATTTTAAATAGGAAAAAGTAATAATAATAAACCAAACTCTCTAGTTTGCTTTACTTGGAGCTGTGGTTTGGATCTGAAATATTCCTCAGACTTTTAATGCATTCAGAGCTGAAAGTTATTGGGCCATGAGAGTGCTATTCTCAGGGAGGAAAGGTCACAAGATGAGTTCACAGGTGGATGAGCAGTTAGGGTGGAGCCTGGCTGGAGAAGGCTGCCTGGGAGTCTGACACAGAAGGTGTATTCTAGTCCCTGGCGCCCACCCTCTCACTCTGCTTCTCATCTGTCCTGGCTTGAAATGCTTCACACTTCTTTTCCCACCCCCCCATTCCATTTCTGCCTTATCCAACTGATCCTGCACAATTGGACTCTTTGAAACTACGAGTCAAGATAAACTTCTCCTCTTATCTTGTAGATGTCAGGTGTTTTGTTTCAGAGATGTGCACATGAGAAACACAGTTGGTGGGAAACCATTTTCATGGTAAATAGATCTAATAAAGACATCAGCTATCAGTCTTGTTGAAGTAAACATTATTGTCTAATCTCTTTCTGGGAATGGAAAATTTTTATTCTCATACTGTGCAGGAAGTATAACTTTACTTTTTTTTTATATTTATTACTGTGTTTTTCTTGTGGAATTAGGGACATTTTGGGATCTGTAAGTTAGGAAGAGCTGTATAAAGTATAGCTCCTACTTTAGGAAAACCATATACAGTTCATGATAAGACAATGACTGCCTCATGAATGTTTGTATGTTTCAGAGCAAGAGCACACATAAAGAGATGTCTACATAAAATGGGCATATATATAGATAGATACATAAGTACCTATATATATATGAAAGTTATAAATCTAATAGCGTTTAACAAGCACATGCAAAAATAATGAACTATAAAATAAAACATGTTCTAGTCTCCTACCTTGTCAAATCTATCTTTGTAAAATCCTGAAAGAAAAAGGCAAGTCTGCTTCTTGTTCCCTTGCCTGTGCACAAATACAAACACATTCAGTCCTTTGGAATGAATTCATCACATCAGAGAGCTTTCTGTGTATTCACGTGGACATCCCAGTCCAGTGCACGCGCCATTGCTGTGCAAATGCTAATCTAGGTGCCCAAGTGTCATGTGCAGATTTCATTTATATTGTTTTTTAACAGAGGTCCGCCCATAGGCCCAGCCCTCAGGCTCATGGATGCGTGTGCTAGTTTGCTCTGTGGGAGGCTGGTTTGGAGAACAAACCCTGATAGGATCTAGAAGTAAGCTCAGGTAGGTTTGAGGATTGAATTATGTATCCCAAATGCCTTGTGGATGTTTTGGAAATGGAAACTGGTTCCAGGTGGGTAAATCTCCTGCCTTCCAGGAGACTTTTATTCTGAAGAGAAGAGTGTGGGCACAGGGAGAACAAAGCCGGGCAGTAAAAAACATGGGGATTCTAAATTTTTCTTAAGCCGTACCACTCATCTAATAAACATTTAATATGCTAGGATCAGAATTATAATACTCATAATAAATTGTTATATTTACTTTTATCATGTATCTTGAGAAATATGTTTAAATCTTTAGATTCTCTTAAATTTCTCCATTAGTGTCATTGCTGTGTTACATATACAAAAGTAATTCCCTTTGTTTAATTGGTTTGTAGTAATTAGCAGTTCGCTGTTGAGCCTGGATAAAACTCCATTTTTCTGATTTTAGGATGAACAATTCATTATTTCAGGTATAATGGATGAAGAAAACCTTGAAAATTTATTTTTTTATTTATTTTTATTTTTATTTTTTTTTGATACCGGGGATCAAACTCGGATCCTTGCATTTGCGCAGCAGGCGGCGAAACCACTGAGCTAAATCCCCAGCTCAAAACCCTGAAAATTTATGAGAACTCGAGATAAAATAATAAAGAAGTCAGAGAATAATTTTTTACTATGATTTTAGCTATTTATTAAAAAGTAAAGAAGGGAAACTCCAGAAATATCTGCCTTTAACTAAAAAAATAAAATCTCTCAAAAATAACATACATCTATGTTGTCCAGGGAACCACTCTCAAAATGCTTTGTTCTAACTGAAAATCACAGAATTCCTGAAAACTTTCTAATTATAAGCATGTGTAACACAGTGGTAATTGTCCAAATCACAGTTCTACACATTGTATATTTCTTGTTCTGAGTATCAAAATAATTTAAGAAAACACTATTGGTATCATCAATCATTTGATCAGATAGCTGTGTTTTTAGTAGATAGTTCCGATGTTTATTGTCTCTTCATTCAATAGCTTCAATTGAAAGCTATTTTTTTATTCTCCTGAGAGCCAGGTACATCTAAAAGCAAATCAACAATTCCATTCTATTTCAATGGAAGATTCAAACAAGTTGTGTAAGAGAAATGCATGGGACAGGTCATAAGAATGATGGAGGATTGCTTAAGCACATAATACGTAAACTACCCAACAAAGAAAGAACAGAGGTTTGAACATGAAAATATCTTATATTTCATAACTATTACATCTCAGAACATTGCAAGCATAGGGAGCATAAATTTGGAAAAAAGAAGGAAAGAAAGTAACATGGAGAATATTAAGTCTTATACAGCTAGTCTGATCACAAAAAGATATAAAAAAGGTAAAAATGGTAAGATTTTAATTTTATATAGCTGAATTTCAGAATATAAATCACAGCAGGATTTTTACCTTCACTTATACTACAGAGAGTGAAAATTAAATCTTATAATTGGACCACATACTGTGGGAGTTTCTTTTGGATTAGAAAATTGAACATGGTAGTAGAAAATCAAAGAGATGAAGGTTACAAGTTAGACTGTGGTTTTAAGCATCAGAAAATGAAAGTATGTCAAAATTCTTTGACAGGAATATAATTAAGAGGAGCAAATGGAAACTATGAATTTATGAGGTTTTCTGTTTCAAAGTTGGATACATAATAAATCTTTCCTGAACCATTAGATCTCATATTAATAATGTACACTTTTAAAAGTCCTTTCTTCTCTTAGAGACAGAAAGAAGTAAATAGTAACACAAGAATGAATGATAAAATGATTATATTTGGGTCTTCACAGGAGCTTAAGTTGAATGAAAGATTATTTAAAAACCTATTTAAGAAACAGAGAAGTCAATAACTACAACAGGCATCTGCTATATAGAGTGAGTCAAAGAGACGAATTCGCGCATGTGCTTAGACTTGGGGAAATGTTTTCTCTCAAAGATGAAGCTAATGAGTTGTAGGAGCCCCATCCTAACAAGTCTACTGGTGCTCATGATTTTCTACAGTTACAGAAGCAGACCAGAAGAGTGATATAGGCTAGAAGTAATAAGAGAGGTGGAAGGGACATAAGGTAATCATAATTAAAAATTTTACTTTTAAGAAAACTGCAACTTCAGAGACCCAGATGAAGCTAGTCAAGGCAATCCATATCCATATTCTCTTGGTTAAATCTGTGTTCCTTTTCTGCCAGACTCAACACATCCAAAATTCTTCGGGGATACTGCAAATCCACATGATGGTTTAACTGAGAAAGTAAAGAGCAGGAGCCTGATTCTAAGATAAAGGAACAGGTTGAGAAAATCCACAGAATGCTTAAATGAACAAGAGGAGCCAAATCAAAACAAAACAAAACCAGCCCATACTGGAAAATGGGCTGGTATCTTTGAGGTGGGTCACATTAGCTTGTCCACCCTTCATGACAAGCATAAAGGCTCCTTCTTCCAGGACTTCATTAATCTCATTTTTCTGAGTGTGCACTAAAGTCTCTGCTTAATGAATCCTTTCCTGTGCCTCTTAATTACACATCATGGAAATTCTTTCTCTTCTATGGGAGTCAGTGAAGCTGGAAACTTATTTTTTAAAAAGGGTGGGTTAATCTCAGCCTTTCAGCTTTGGAACCTCTCAGACCCATTCCAGTGAGAGGGTGAGGTTCTTTAATTACAGTCTGCTGCCTAGGCTTCCCTATTCTTTTCAAGCTTTCCTTTACTACTTCAATTTTCTCTTCCTCTCTATATCTGGTATTCTACCAGAGCTACCCTCATTTCCTGTATGTGTGATACAATTTTGTTTGCCATTCTAACTCATTTACTAAGATCAGAAAACAATGTTTAGAAATACAGCTTTCTTATTAATCTTTTTTAATTAAGTTTATTGGTGCATTTTAGGTATACATAATGATGACATTCATCATAGTGAATTTGTCCATGTACGTGATGTGTATTGATTTTTATTTTTTCCCATTCCCCTACCCTCCCTTTGACCCCTATTGTCCCCCTTATTTACAAAATCTTCATTTTATTACTTTCTTTTATTCAGATACTAGACATCAAGATATGAATTAACTAAACATTTAATTGAATAAAGTCACATTGATGTTATAAAGAAGTGGGATCAATGGATCATATGTCAAAAACCTGCTTTCAGAATATCTACTTTCAGAAAATAACTTGAACATAAATTTGTCTTGCATTATTTCATTATATGAGGCATTAAGTTTTCTTTAAACATAGAAAAATATTAGATTATTGTGGCTTTAGTTCCTTAGTAACACCTGCTTTCCGGTGTGAAACATTTGTGTCACAAATCTTTAAGAAGAATTTATGTTAATGCTGACCTTTTCTTTCCATGTGGAAAGCTTATTAAAAACTCACAACCTGCTGTGTTCCTTGTAAATTCACAAGCAGATAAAGGACACGGCAAGATACATGACAACTAATGAAAATAGAACAACTGGCACTGTACTGCACATTTAAAAGTCACTTTCCTATTGCTTAACTTTTTCTTCAACACAGATAAATTTAATAATAACTC